CTCGTGGCCCAGGTGCGGATCAGTTCGTCTGCCACTCGTCGACCCTCAGCGCCGGGCGGGGGATGAAGAACACGCATATGCCCGCGATGGATGATCACGTGGCACTCCTGCTTGGGTTCTCCCGCTGGGAGAACTGTGTCAATATCCAAATGACCCCAATGATCCGCCCGCCATACTCTGAGTACCACCTCCTCCAACGCTTCGCACGGGAAGAGGGCGACGCACCTGAAGTCTTTGTCGTGGTCGCGATGCACCGCATCATGGATGTGCATCCGGACCTCGGCCTCCCTGGAAGATATCCAAGGTGGAGCGTCGGCAAGGCCCGCAGCAGCGTCGGTAGCCTTCTCCAGGAGGTCTCTGCGGATCTCAAGGGCCAGGTCCTTGACTTGCTGGGCGTCGGGTGGTGCTTCGAGCTGCACCCAGAGCTTGGCTGCCGCCAGGTGGAGTGGGAGGCACTTACGCTCCTCCGAAACACCGGCGGGCACGTGCAGACGCTTCGCGACGCACTCGTCGAGGGGCAGCTGGTCCTGATAGTTGAGGTAGTGCGAAGTCTGGCCCTGCACTGCGACGGAGCCCTGTCCCACCGACTTCTCAGCATTCCACCGCACTGGTGTTATGATGACGTCTGGGTCAGCCCCCAGGTTGCCAGCCTTCGCCCCGATGCGGTCCAGGAGCTCGCTAGCCTCGGCAGCCAGGGTGGGCCCGCCGTGGCGCGTCGCCTCAAGGAGTACTTGTTCGACCGAGAGCTCCTCCTCGCGCCCGCGGGCGCAGGCAAGGCGAGCCAGGACATGCGACCGCATGTAGTCGCTGGCGTGGCTCACGGAGTCGAGCACCCCGCTCTCTTGGACGGCCTCGAGCAGCTTTCGCTGGGCCAAGGCTCCCTCGTCTGTGCAGACACTCGTTCCAACCAGGGCTGGGCTGTCGGCGCGCGGGTCCTCCAACCAGGTCGCGTCGGGTCCCTGGGCGGCCTCGCGAAGCTCCGACTCGAGCTCGGTGCACTGAACCTCGGCGTACTCGTCGGGCGGCGCCCAGCCTGTCTTGGCAGGCTGGCTCTCCGCTGCCCCCGCACCTGCAACCCGTTTGCCGTCCGCTTCGGTCTTAGCTTGGGCCCGCAGCTGCGCGATCCGCCCATTGACCGAAGCTGGGTCGATCTTGGCGGCGTTGCGGAGCCCACCTCGCCTGAGCAGCTGGCACTGCACGGTCCAGTGCACGTCCTTCAGGCCCCTGATGAGCTCATGTGAATGCGAGCACCCTTGAGCGCCCTTCTTGCAGCTTATCCAGGTCGAGTTGTCCCAGCAGAGCGGCTTGCCCTGCTTGTCGCAGGGCGCGTGCCAGACAGAGAGCTTGATCTCCTGTGCGTTCAGCCGCTTGCCCGCAGGGTAGGCGGCGCGCGTGGAGTTGGCCTTCGGCTGGGCCTTGGCCTTGGGCTTCTTCTTGGGGGTGGCTCCTGCTCGTTGTTCCTGTGGCTCCGCAGCTGGTTCGTCTCTCTCTCCTCCGACCTCTCCGGCTTTGCCCGGGGCGCCGCGCGCCCCATGCATCGAGTCGTTGAGGACGGTCTGGGGGTAGCGCTGCTGCCGAGGACGCACGACTTCCTGGTAATAGCCCGTGGGGGGCTCGAGGTCGAAGACGTTGGGAAAGACGAACGCCGGGCGTCCGTCCGCCCTGGGAGCGAAAGCCACCATTTTGAGATCCTCCTTCCTGGGGTTGTCTGTCTGCAACACGCGTAGGAGGCCTCGCTTCTTCTCTCGAAGTCGTTCGCACCAGGTCGCCCACAGATCCTCCCACAGCTCGTATACGAACTTGGGCGGGAAAGCGTGGTCGTCCTTCTCGCACTCCCGCGCGAGGGTCTCCAGGCAGTCCAGACGCTCTTTGATATGCTCTCGCCCGAAAACGAGCCCGAAGAACTTGGTCATGTTCTGGGCCTGCCGCTTCCACTGGTCGAAGACCACGGGGGCCCTGGGCCTGGGTTCCAGCTTAGTGTCGTGCGGTGCGCTGTAATTATCGAACGCGACCGTCTTGCACGTCGGGAAGTCCGCCACGGAGGCCGACCACGGAGCCAAGTTGTCCAAGCTGCTGCCGCCGAAGCTGAGCGAGGCGCAGGCCATCGTGATCCGGTTGGACACTGTCGCGGGCGTCTCGACGGCGAGCATCAGGGCCTTGTTCTGCTCACAGGTCCGGCGCAGAGCATAGAACAGCTCGCGCCCAAGGACCTCGTCGCAGACCTCCACTGACAGCTGGCCACACCGCGCGCCAAGTGGACGTCCAACTCCTCGGCTCTCCCCAGTGCGGCCACCGTCCCTCGCTGGGCTGCCTTGTCACCCTGGCGGGCACTGGCGACCCCTTCCAAGGCGTGGAGCATCCGCGCGGTGTTCGCGTCCAGGGGTGCTCCGGGGTGCGCGAGGCCGAACGGGTCGCTGCCTCCGCCCTCCTCCGGGGCTCCTGCGGCATAGCGCGCTGGAGCTGCGGTCAGACCTGGGGGTAGGCCCAAGTCGCTGACGTGCTGGTCGCAGCGGAACAGGGCCCCGATGTTCGGAGCCTGTGGGCGGACGACCGGGGCCAGCCCAGCCGCGGTAGCTGGGAGGCCGGCGCCCCGCGGCCCGAAGGTGAAGGCTGGCGTGGCTGCTGCTGGCGAGAGGGGGGGCGGCGCTTCGAACAGGGGCGCGCTGTCGACCTGGATGGCCGGCGGCCCCTGCGAGCGGTGGCGCTCGGGCGGGAGCCTGAGGAGACCCTGAAGGCTTCTCGGCGCCGCCTCTGGGGTCTGAGGTCGTGAGGGCACCTGCTGGAGTGCCTCCCAACTACCGATGTGCCCATCAAGCCGAGCGAGCTCATCTGGCTCGGTCGTCTGCTGCTTGAGGTGCTGGGCGTAGCGGACAAGGCTAGCGAGCACTTGCTGGGCCTCCTCGTCGAAGCCGGCGGCCACGCTCTGCACCGCCGCCGCGTCGCTCGACCCGCGAGCCTTCTCCTCCAGGTAGCATGCCATCATGTCCCCGCTGTCGCCCCCTTGATGGCTCTCTCCTGATACTGGTGCTTCAGAGCTCGCTGCCCGCCCGCCCTCGGCGGACGGGGAGCGCGAGCCACGGCGCGTGGACCCAGCTGGTGGCCCGGGCGAGCTGCTGCGGTCAAGCCGCTGCCAGTGGCTGCGCAGCTTAGCGTCAGCCTCTGTAGCTCTCGCTTCGAAGTTCGGACTGGGCGCCACGCCTCCCTCGGGGTGCCACCTGACCAAGCTGACCACCTTCTCACGGAGCAGCCGCCAGGGAGCCTCGCTGAGCGGCCCGGCTCGTCCGCCCACGGGGAGCCCGTGCCACGCCGCCAGCTTATGCCAGATTTTCTCGGGTACGTTGGTCGCCGAGACGCTGATGCCGAGCTCCTCGCAGCCCAGGGGCGCGTGTTGGAGCATCTCCTCGATGAACCCCGCTGGCAGACGCCCTGAGGGCCCTGGGGCAGGTGCACGGATGACGCCGTCAGGCTTCACGAGAAAGCCGATGGTTGCGCCAGTCGGGTCCTCCACCTCGAGAGCCATTGCGCCGTCGAGGTAGTCAGCCACTGCGCTGGCCGCGGCGGCGTCGGCCGCCCTCTCTCTGACAATCATCCACTGCGCTCCTTCTGGCCACTGTACCCTCGCCCGAACGATGAAGTATCGCCCGAGGGGCATGGGCGGCGGCGTGGGCGGCTTGGGGAACTCCGGAACCGGCGGCGCCTCGAAGCGCACGCTCGGTGGCCCAGCCGGCGCAGGGACGGGGTCGCCCGGGCTGGTGGGCGCCTCTGGAGCAGAGACCGCCGGAGTGGAGCGCTCTGGTGTGCGACTCCGGGCTGGTGCCGCGGCGGCACGCTCAGGCGTGCGGCTCCGCGGAGCAGGGCCCCGCCGGGCTCGACGTCGCAGACCCGCGAGGAACCCGACGCCCGCGGGTTTGTCGTGGAGCGCTTTGGCGGCGTCGCCTCCGAGGTGCTGCAGGCAGAGTGGGGCCCCCGAGGCCATGCCCACCGCCTCGCGGAAGCACGTCACCTGGGAACACTTCTTGCCATAGCGCAGGACCATGTAGATCTGCCTGCGATGCTCGCAAAGGCAGGCTGTCGCATTCCCCATCGCTGGGAAGTGCGAGGTCCGAAGCTCGGCCATCCTCCACCAACAGCACGGTCGGATCGCCGCGTGCGGCGTCTCGACAGCCCTCGGGCGCCAGCGGGCGCATCTTGCCCTTGATCATGAGCCCCACCTTCACCGCCTCGCAGGGGTTGTCCTCGGCGTCTACTTCGGACTCGGACTCCTGGTCAAGCAACCTTGCCACAGATCCCTGAACGCCAGGCTCCGCGTCGCCAGTCCTGTGACGGCGGCGTCGCCGGCGGCAGATGCACGCCCCGCAGCGCGAAAGCCATGCGAGGACGTGCAGCAGCAGCTTGTAGACGAGGCCCAACCACCTCCAGAGCCAGACGAAGATCCGGCAAGGCGTGAACTTTGAATAGTCGCCGAGGTCCACGATTGCTTCGTTGTCGAGGGCGGCATACTCCTTGCAGTGCAGCTCGTTCTCGCGCCCCTTGCATCAGGCGCAGCTGGTGGAGCGACGCAGGTGGAGCCAGCGCGGATCGCGCTGCTCTAGCTCGCGCCTGAAGCCCTTGTCGCTAGCGCCCTTCACATAATCATACTCAACCCATCCCTGGCGATTGATGCGCTCCGGGGACTGCATGTTGAGCTTGAGTCGCGCGACCCGGTAGTCGACCCTGATCAGGAGGTCGTTTTGGCCGCGCTTGGAGCCCTTGCCCTCCTGTGCCACACCGCGTCGGTGAGGGGCGGCGCCGCCGGCGGGACCTCGCCGGGCGTCTTGCGCCTCGGGCAGGGGCAGCACGGCACCAGGCCGCATGTCCAGGCTGCCCAGCTGCAGGGTGCGAAGAGCGTCCTCAGGCTGTGGGCCAGGAGTGCGACCACGCCAGTGCCGAAGAGGATCGCCACGAGCCCGGCAATCAACGGCCACGCGGAGCCGAACAGATAGAGGCCCACCTGGTCGGCCATGTACAGCACCCAGCCGCCGTCGGAGCTCAACCAACCTCCTGCCTCGCGAGTCGAGAAGGCCGACCTGAAGCTCCCCACGGCCCGGAAGGTGCCCCCGCCCATCCCCTCGGCAAACCAGTGCGTGCGGTTGCCGATGTCTTTCCAGCTGATGCCGAAAAGACCCCAACCCTTGATCCAGGACGATGGGTCCCCGTCGGAGGGGTCGGGGGGTGGGTGGGCCGGGCCCTGGGGGGGTGGGTCGGCCGGCGGCGCAGAGTGCGCGCGCGGCGGCCCCCCTCCACCGCTCCCTGCCGGAGCGGCACGCCCGCTGGCGGAGTGAACCCCGACCGGCAGCGCGTCCGCGCGCGCGGAGGAGTCCGTGGGCTTGTCGAGCCAGAACCCCTTCATGTCCACGCTCGCCTCGTCGTCACAGTAGACCTCGAGGTCGGGGGCCGCCTGCCCGTGCACGAGCTCGGCGCCGGCCACCCCCACTATCTCCATGAGGATGACGAGTGGAGCTGCGGCCCAACCAGGGCGCCTGCCGGCAAGCGGCGGCGCCGGGGCCCCGGGGAAGCTCCTCCAGGCGGGCCCCGGCGCGCGTGCGCGCTTCGCCGCCCTCGCCTGGTCCTGCGGGCGCCGGCGCCGATGCGCGCCCGGCCGCCCGCTCGGCGGCGGCGGGCAGCGCCCATGTCACGGCTGCCGCCCCTCCGCCCCCGGGTGCTCCGCGGCTAGCGTGAGCTGGCGCCGCTCGGCACCCGGGCTCTCCGCCGCTGCGCAGCTGCGCGCCCTCGGGCAGCAGCGCCGCCGCCCCCCAGCCGCGCGGCGCCAGGCGCGGCCCCATCCGGCCGCGGGCGCCCCCCTTCGGCCCCGGCCCTGGCCCCGAAGGTCTTCCGGCCCTGGTCCTGGGGCCCGGCCTTAGGCCACCTGTGGCCGACCCCCAGCTTGGCCTTGAAAAGGCTCGAGCCGCCAAGCGGCGGCGAAGAGAGAGGGAGCGAGCAAGGGCAAGCAAAGAGGCAAGGGCAGGAGCAAGGGAACCGCAAGTGGAAGCCCGCGCCAGTTCTGGAAGCGGGGAGATCCATCAGTTTTACCAAACATCCTAATCGCTGGAATTCCTCGCTGGCGAGCACAGCGCCCGGAGCAGCAACGGCGCCGGAGACCACTCCCCCGCCGCTGACTGGCACAAGCGCCCTCCAGCCTCGGGCGGCCACACCATCGGCGATGACCTCAGCCAGCAGCCCCCAGGGGCCACAAAAGCGACGAAGGAGATAAAGGAGGAACCATCCTCGGATAGGGGCTCCCACGGCAACGGCGATAATCCGTTCGAGGTAGACTGGGATGAGGGCAATCCAGAGAGGGCGGTCTCCATGGTCGACAGCCCCGCGCAGCAGGACGAGGAACCGAAATCAGCGGCCCCAGCGGCAGAGGCGGCCCCCTCGAGCGGACAGTGCTGTGGACAGCCCCCCCCGACAAGGAGAAAGCTGCCAATTGGGCGCCTTGCGCGACGGCCCGCTTCCGAGAGGACATGGAAGAAATCCGTGACAAACGAGGGAAAGGGAGCAGGCCAGACTGCAGTCAGGAGACTACCCAGGAGCTCGCAGCCCCAGCGCACGAGACCCGCCAGGCGCCCAGCCCCCGGCAGGACAGCAGCCCAGAGAGACGGCCGCGCCCACAGGCTGAGCCACTCCCGCCTCCACATCAAGACGACCCCCTAGGAGGGCCCCCCATGTACATGAGGTCCATCGACGAGGCCGACATCCAGAGGGACGAGCCAGCCCAAGAGAAAGTCACCAGACTACAGAAGGCACTCGGAGGCGCATTCAACGGGGCGTGGATAGGATGGGTTCGCAGGGCAGGCAGCCTGCAGGGTCTACCGTGGGTCGACATCCACTCGGACCCCAGGAGGAACACAGAGGAGAGGCGCGAAGAATTCTTGCGGGCGTGGGAAGCCGCGGGCTACGACGCCTACAAGCTGGTGAGACACCGCCATCTCCGTGGTGAATGGCAAAAGGTCGCTGAGAAATATCGTAGCCTACTACGTCGCAGCGCAAGGGCCAGCGCATCCAAGGGACAAGACAGCAAGGGCAACCCATACCCTTGGTTCGACAGAATGACAGTGCGCACCCCCCCTGTCCCACCCGACAGGGCAAGTCACCACGAGCAGACGCAACCCTCCAGCACATACAGCGGGGCTGCGCAGCAGCACCCATGGAGCAGGCCCAGAGACGGCACAGCCGCCCCGCCAGCGTACACCGACAGGGAGACCACCTGGTCGGGGGCATCCAGCTCTGGGGCCCCATGGCGCCCAAGGCCGCGATGGGGAGGGTGGGGCCACCAGGATAGCTCTTGGAGGGGTGCTTCGTGGGGGAACAGGGAGAAAAGGACCGCCCCGAAGAGCCGCGAGCAATGCGCCGACAAGCGACAGCGAGGATGGGAGCTCGCGCGCTGGTAGACCGGCTGAGGGCCTGGCAGGGGCCCCCCGACTAGGGCGAGGCCGGCATTACAAAAGCCGCCAAGACGTACGGCGCCGGGCTGCCAGGGAAACGCGTGACCCCCCTTCGCGGAAGAGTTGCCGCGCACGTGCACCGTGGGGCCCCCTCTAGGACGTGCCCGCCCCAGACGACGTCCTGCGGCTCAGGCCGCTCACCCTGACCTTTCGCCGCGCTCTCCAGTTCCGCGGCTATCGGCTGCGATCCCCTTTCCTCGTCGCCACGTGCTGTCTGTTTCCGCGGCTATCGGCTGCTGACCCCCTTTCTCGTTGCCATTGCTTCTACATTCATGACTGCTGCCAACGGCTGCTAACCCCTTTTTTTTCGTCGCCACAGAGAAGCAATTTCCGAAGGGGGATGAGTAGCTGTGGGCCCCAGGGCCACTGGGTCACCACCGGGCGGCCACACCTGTCGGCTGTCGGCAGACAGCGACAGGACACGTTTCACCAATGCAGTGGGCCACTGGGGCGGGTTGATGTTACCTCCTGGGTTGAGGTGCCCCCCCCGCCACCGCGATGGTTCCTGCGTTCTCGTGGGCCTTTAGCCCGTTCGGCCGGCTGAAATAATCCCGTCGTCGGCTTGGCCCCAGCGGCGGCCCGTGGTGCTCCGAGAGGGCTCGCCCAAGGCGCTTCGCCCGCTCTCGGCGTGCTACACTCATTCATTTTGCCCGCGACGCATGCGGGCCGGGACACACCGGGCGCTGGCCTCAGACAATCCGGGAGCCCATCCTTTGGAGTCGGCAACATGCAGTGGCTTTCACTTCGTCGCCCGTAGGGACGGCGACTTCTGACCCCCCTTTCACATGGGCGCGTTGACACTACGGTCGGCCGCTCGTCGGCATCGGCGGACACGGACGTCGGTCAAGGCACCGTTCTGACGCTTGTGTTAGACGTTGGCTACTGCCGCAGGAGAGCTTTCTGGGTGCGCAAGCCGCGCACCGCCTTGGTACCAGAGGCCATCGCGGGCGCTCTCCTTTGTGGTCGGCCTTCTCCAGGCATTGGCCCGAACTCCCACAGCGGCGCGCAGTCTGGCCCACGTTCCAAGTGAGTGAGTGGTTTTGGCACGGTCCGCCTGGCAGTCTGACCCCACCTGCGGGTCCGGCCTTTCCGCCCTCCCCATTTTCGCTGGCACGCGCTCAGCGGCTTCTGGGGTCCGCGTGGTGGCGCCAGGGCTTCAGCTGGTATCTTCTCAGTTGCCTCTTTTGCTGGCACATGTCCAGCGTTGTTAATTTTCTGCTGCGGGCACACGCTCAGCGGCTTTTGGTGGTCACGTGGTGGCGCCCGGGCTTCAGCTGGCGCCTTCGCGGTTGCCTCCTCGGCCGGCGCTTGTCCCGCGCCGTTAATTGTCTGCTTTCCCGTGCGCTGTGCCCCAGCCTCGTTCACACCGCCCTCCGGTCTTTTCCTTGCGGGCCGCGAATCAAAAAAGTACCCCCGCCAGCCTTCGTAGCACGCTCGGCGTTCGACTTGCTTCGCGCGCCCGGTAACCAAAAGTATCCCCACCAGCCCATCCAGAAACGATGCCCATGAGAGCTGACGGGGGAGAGAGGAAGAGGCACGCATAGTCAAACAGCGAGGGAGGCTTGGGAGGGTCCGTGGCCATTGTGAGCCGTCTTGGAGCGGTCTTGTGGCCGTTTGGAGCATCTTGGGAACCATATTGAGCTGGCTTGGGCTATCTGATTCATCTTGGAGGTCATCTTGGGCACTCTGAGGCCGCTTGGGTGCCTCTTGGGGGCCTCTCGGGTTCCTCTTGGGGCCCTCTTGGGGCGTCTTGGGGCGCCTCTTGGGCCCGCTTGGGGCTCTCTTTGGAACCCTGCAGGCCCTCTTGGGGCCATCTTGGAGGCTATCGATCAAAAGAGGGGGTTCCTTTGTATATGCCCCCCCCTCGGGGGCCACGATCCTCGCGAATGGCAGACAATTGCTTTACCAGGGGCTGGAAAGGACACTCTAATTCGTCGCGGCCCCTCCCCAAAAACCTCCGGGAGGGCAGGGGGAGGGGTTCCCTCCCCGAAGGGAAGAGGGGGTGTGGAAGAGGAAAGAGACCCTCCTTAGACCACCTGTCGCCCGAAGGGCTGGTGGGACTAGCATCAACTTAGAGGGCCACTGAGGCCAACGTATATCCATGATTCACACGCTCTGATCTGAAACGACACCAGCATGACAACGTATGCAGCATGCACTGCAAATCCGGCGGCTGAGTTCAGGTAGCAGTCACGTGATCGGGTGGATGAGGGACCGTGGTTTCGGAAACGCATGGATGGAAACGCGTGGGGAGGAGTTGGAGGAGCAGTGGTAGAAGGAACAGTCGTCGTCGTACTCGTACGTAGCGACAGCAGTTGCAATGGTAGGCGTTGCCGTTATAGCTGGCCGCGTGCAAGGTGGCTTCAGCCTGGAGGGTGGTGCCATGGTTTTGGCGGACGGCGGCATCGTATGCATCGACGAGTTCGACAAAATGGATGAGAAGGATCGAGTGGCGATCCACGAGGCGCGGCGATCCTTTTTCTCCCTCGTTCCTCCGTTCTGAGATCTGCTTCTTGTGGCGGAAGCAGTCCTCGCGTCACCCAGCCCATTCCTTGTTTGCGAAAGCAGTGAGACGCTTGATCCGCTGCTCGACGACAACTGTTCTGCATCCTGCGCCCTATACCTTCCGTCCTCCTTCGAGGTGCCCCCCCAGAGTGCAAGGACGGCTGCGCTTTTGCAGAGGGTTCGGGCGAAGAAGCGTCAACAGCGGCTGCAGCTGCCTCCTCTTCAGCGGGCACGTAATCTCCTGTCATCTGTCGATTTGTCCTCACCCTTACAGCCCAGCTGCTCCACTCCATGGCCCCTGCCCAGGCGCCGCGGGGGAGGACACAAGCATTCGCATGTGCCCGCCGCGGCGCCACGGCGCAGGAGCGCATTGCGCCGAGGCACCTCGGTCGACCAGGGCGCCGCGGCGCTGCGGCAGAGTCTCGCTAGGATGTTGGAGCAGGCCCCGAAAGGCTTGACGACTCGTCGCCAATCGACTTGTGGGAATCAAGCGGGATGACTTCAGGTTAACGCATCTATGTTAACCAGCGTGGGCCCCACACAGTTGTAGCAGAAATTGAGGTGTCACCTATGTGGAGCAATATATGTGAAGCCATCTATGTGTGGCAATCTATGTGTGACAATCTATGTGGTGATGTTTTTGCTGTACTTTCTACGATGTGCAATATACGATTGGTAGCATCGTTGTGCAATGTTTGTGCGGGTGGTGCAAGAACCAACATCGGTGTTTGCAATATATGTGGTGCAATCTATGTGCTGAAATGGATTGTAACAAACGAGTTGACACATCCCCTGCTCCTGCAAACATCCCACCGACCCACCCGCAACTCGGTTTGCAAAACCCATGCGGTGGCGACTGCGATGCATTGCTTGGCGTTGGTTGGTGCATCTTTGCGGCCGCGCCAACCCTAGCACGCGCGCGCAACGGCCAGCCAGTTTGGCGCCACCGACGCGGCCGCGACGATGTTCGCAGCGACGAGGGCGCCGCCAGTGCGGGCGCCGATGCTGATTACGCCAGCGACAATGACGGCGTCTTCGCGTCGGTGATACAGGTTTTGGAAAGAGTTCGGCACGCGCGCGAGGCCGACGCGCGAAAGTGGCCCGCATGGTGTTTTTTTGACGCCGGTCGTGCCCCCCCAGCACGCGCGCACGGGCGTTCGAATGATGTCCGTATGCGGCACCAGAGGCCCGCCTGTTGAGCAGAATTCAATGAAATCGTTGAAACATCTTATGGGTGCATCCATTCTGCGGAACTTGAAGTCGTCATCTCCACTGCTCGCGCAAACATCCCACCTACCCACCCGCAAGTTGGTTTGCAAAACCTGTTAAGACCGACTACGACGACACCGACGACAACGACTAGGACGACACCGACGACGTTTCCGACGACTTCGACGACGACAACGACGCCGACGCCGACGACGACGAAGACGACGGCGACGACGCCAACGAAGGCGACGACGAGGAAGGAGGAAGGACGACGACGGCGACAACGACGACAACGACGAAGGAGGAGGGAGGACGGTGACGACGCGTACGACGACGAAGGAGGAAGGACGGCGACGCCGACGACGACAACGACGAGGGAGGAGAGAAGACGACGACGACAACGACGACGACGACGACGGCGACGACATAGGAGGGACGACGATGAGACGCCGACGACGGACGACGACGACGACGTGGGAGGAGGAGGAAGGACGACCACGGCGACAACGACGATGGAAACGACCACGACGCCAAAAAGGACGACGACGACAAACAGGAGAAAAGACAGAGGACGACGTAGGCGACGACGACGACGACGCGGGAGGAGGGAGGACGGCGACGACGACGACGACGACGCAAGAGCGCGCGCACACGCTTTTGTTGAAAATCCGTGTTGCGAAACCTTGGGTTCTTGTAGGTTTTTTGGACGCACGATTTTGAAATCCTTCCGAAACCGATGGATTTTGAAGGTTTTCTGCATACGTCCGCGACGACGCGCGCGTCTGCACTTCGTCCCATTTTTTTGCAGAGGATTCTCGCGACGGCACGCGCGCAACGACAGATTTCGACATGCGCGCGCGCGAAGCCCGTTTGGTAGCATTTTGTGAAAATCTTGAAAAACCTATGGTTTTCTTAAGATTTCGCAAGAGCTCGCGCGGAAGCTTGTTTAGCAAATCAGTGTTGCGAAACCATGTGTTTTTGTATGTTTTTCGGAAGCTCGATTGCGAAATCCTTCTGGCACCGACGGTTTTCGAAGGATTTCGGCATGCGCGCGCGACGACGCGCGCGTGCGCACTTCGTCCCATTTTTGCAAGGGATTCGTGAAAAAGTGATATGTTAGAAAGAAAAATGTCCCCGCATAGTGTTATTTGACAGGGAACCGCAGGGGGGGGGATACCGGCTTGGCTGGGATGGTACGAATTCATATTTAGGATGGACATGTGGTCAGAATCATATGTGATTTACAGCACGCGCGGGGGACCCGATAAGTCCGGGGGGGGGTAGAATTTATTATTTCTTTAGAGAGGAGAATTGAGAATTCGCAAGAATTCGCAAGAGCGGGCGCTCAAACTTTTTAATGACATGCGGTTTTGAAATCGCTACGAAACCCAGTGTTTGGGAAGGATTCCGGCATGCGCGCGCGACGACGCGCCGCGCGCATTTCGTCCTGTTTGTTGCAAAGTGTTCTCGCGACGGCACGCGCGCAAGGGCGTTCGAACGACTTCGACAGTCGCGACGCGAAAACTGGTGGTTATTTGTGTTCAGAATTCGCAAGAGCGCGCGCACGTGTTGCGAAACCAGCCGTTGTTTACATCGTTTTGACACTCGATTTTGAAACCCTTCCAGATCCGAGAGTTTGATAAGGATTCTGGCATGCGCGCGCGGCGGCGCACGCGAGTGCATTTCGTGGGGAAGGATTCATTAAACAATTGATACGTTTGATAAACGAGTGTGCGCGCATTGTGTTTATGGCAGAGGATGGCGAGGGGGTCGAACCCAGCTCTTTTGGGATGGTACGGGTTCATATTTCGGATGAACTGTGGAGTAGAACCATATGTATATAGCAACACAGATGGTGTACCGATTAAGCTGGGGGGGCGCGGGGTAGGGCTCTTCTCCGGGAGGAGAATTCACCCTGCCGAATTTGAAGTTGTTAACTCCATTGCTCGCGCAATCATCCCACCCGCCCACCCGTAACTTGGCTTGCAAAGCCCATGCGGCGGCGACTGCGATGAATGGTTGGTGTTGGCTGGTGCATCTTTGCGGTCGCGCTAGCCCACACATGCTCGCGCGCGCCGCGGCCAGCTAGTTTGGCGCCGCCGACGCGGCCGCGGTGTCGCAGACCGTTGGGCACTTTTCAGCGGCCCTTCAGTCCGAGTCGGCGACTTGGGCGGGCGCGGTATCATGGCAGCTTCGACAAGGGTAGACACGATGATGATAGTTACGATGTTGGTGACGATGACGGCACCCTCGCGTCGGTGATGAGAGTTTTGGGGTGAGTTCGACATGCGCGCGCGGCCGACGCGCGGGTGGCCCGCGCTATACAATTCGCCAAATATGCTTGCCCTGTAGGAGTCCCAACTCAATCCCTAATAATTGGTTTGTTGCCCCCTCATAATTCGCATGCCTCCCCCTAATTCCTATGCCCCCCCCCCCCCCCCCCCCAATTTTGCCAATGGAACAACCCCTTGTTTCCAATGGCACTCCCAGTTATTTTCAATGGCGAGTCCTATGGATTCCTATGGGTTCCTGTGGGTCGCTTGCCTTTGCTTGCTGTTGCGTGCTCTTGCTTGCTTGATTGTGCGTGCTTGCTATCGCTTGATTGCGCTGTCTTGCCCTTGCTCGCTTGCACTTGATCGCTGGCTCTAGCTTGTTTGTTTTTGCTTGCTTGCGCTTGCTTGCTTGCGCTTGCTTGCTTGCGCTTGCTTGCTTGCGCTTGCTTGATGTTGGTCCCCCCGTCCTGCTCCCGTCCTCCTTTCGTCCTCCCCCCTCCCATTTCCTCTCGTCCTCCTCCTGGCCTCCGACTGATTTGGAGTCAAAGCTGGTTTATATTTGATTCGGATCGTGCACCCCCAACGCGCGCGCAAAGGCACTCGAATGATTTCGACGTGAGGCGCGGAAGGCCCATTTGGCCGCACGTGATGAGCATATGGGAAAACCCAGGGTTTTCTTGAAGTTTACATGAACGCGAGCGTGGTTTTTTTTGTGCGGTTGCAGAACCCCGTGTTTTTATTTGTTTTCGGGACACTCGATTTTGAAATCTTCGCTCAACCGCCAGTTTCTGAAGGATTTTGGCATGCGCGCGCGACGACGCACGCGCGCACTTCGCGCAGTTTTTTGCAAGGGACTCTTGCGACAGCACGCGCGCAAGAACTTTCGAGCGATTCCGGCGCGCGTGCGCGAGAGGCCCGGTTGGTAGCATGTTATGATCATGTTGGCAAACACGGTTTCTACAATAATCGGCAAGGGCGCGAACGTTGTTGTTTTGTTTGGAAAAGCGTATCGTTGCGAATTCGTGTGTTTTTCTGGGCAATTCGATTTTGAAATCCGTTCGTCACTTTCTGTTTGTGATGCATTTCGGCATGCGCACGCGACGACGCGCACGTGTGCATTTTTTGTTGTTTATATATATATATATATGTATGTATTTGTATGTAATATATATATACATATGTGTATATATATATATATGAAACAACGGTTCTTGGCAATTTATGAGTACGGATGAATGACTGCGCGCGCGTAACGTTTGTTGTAGAAGATGGGGTGGGGGCGATGCTGACTGGCGAGGGGGGCGATGGGGCAGACTCGTGTGTAAATCGCAATGCGACAAAAAAAGGGTCCCGTGAAATCATTTGTGTGGAGGGGGGGTCGAATTCAACATTTTGAAGACAACAAATAAATGGGTGCAGTCTATGTTGTGCAATCCACTTTGACTGTCTTGAAGCTGTCCTCTCCACTGCTCGTGCA